TACCGTGAGGAAATATCTGCCTGAAATTACAATGGGCTTCAATGGAGACATGATGAACGTTGTTGTCACTTCATGCCCTCAAGAGGCATTTTGTTGAATTATTTTGCTTAATTATTTGTCATTTTTCAAGCTACGAGATGTTTTCCTACGTTTGTCATGATGAATTATGTCCCAGGAATGTAGGGTTTGGGAATTATGGCAGTTTTTAAAAAAAATATGAAGGCAAATTTCAAGATTTCCTACCCTCTAGCTGTGACATCACGCACTCTAGTTAATGTTACAATCTGAAGAAAACTTCTTTACCAAGGTCTGAACAATGTTTAATATCTCTAAAAGTAAGAATCAGATTTAAAAGTTGTTTGACACGAATAATGTCAGAAAGATTTGTAACATTTTAAAGTTGGAATGAGGTTTCTGAGTGAAAGTATGAATGAACAGTGAGCAGTTGAATCGCATGAAGATTTGTTGAAGTCTGAAGATTTTCTCCATTGACTTCCATGTTAAAAATGTGATGCATTATGGGATGTATCTCTGGAATTATGAAAGTTATGAATGAGAAAAGTAAGAGCCATCGATTCCAGACCGAGCTGAACGTTTTGATGTTTGAACGGAGTTTCTGCGATGTTCAATGCGGGAGAAGAAGAGGGCCAACATAACGGGCGGAATAATAATAAAGAATTTCGTGCGTAGAATAACAGATAGTGGAAATGCTGTCTACAGTGAAGCTGAGAGGACCCCCTGCAGTGAAGCTGAGAGGACCCCCTGCAGTGAAGCTGAGAGGACCCCCTGCAGTGAAGCTGAGAGGACCCCCTGCAGTGAAGCTGAGAGGACCCCCTGCAGTGAAGCTGAGAGGACCCCCTGTCTGCAGTGAAGCTGAGAGGACCCCTGCAGTGAAGCTGAGAGGACCCCCTGTCTACAGTGAAGCTGAGAGGACCCCCTGTCTACAGTGAAGCTGAGAGGACCCCCTGTCTACAGTGAAGCTAAGAGGACCCCCTGTCTGCATTAAGCTAAGGACCCCCTGTCTGCAGTGAAGCTGAGAGGACCCCCTGTCTACAGTGAAGCTGAGAGGACCCCCTGTCTAGCAGTGAAGCTGAGAGTGACCACCTGTCGACAGTGAAGCTGAAGAGGGACCCCCTGTCTTACAGTGAAGCGAAGAAGGACCCCCTGTCTGCAGTGAAGCTAGAAGGACCCCCTGTCTGCAGTGAAGGCTGAAGAGGACCCCCTGTCTGCAGTGAAGCTGAGAAGGACCCCCTGTCCTAGCAGTGAAGCTGAAGAGGACCCCCTGTCTAGCAGTGAAGCTGAGAGGAAACCCCCTGTCTGAAGTGAAGCTGAGAGGACCCCCTGTCTACAAGTGAAGCTGAGAGGACGCCCCCTGTCTGCCAGTGAAGCCTGAGAAGGGACCCCCTGTCTGCAGTGAAGCTGAGAGGACCCCCTGTCTGCAGTGAAGCTGAGAGGACCCCCTGTCTGCAGTGAAGCTGAGAGGACCCCCTGTCTGCAGTGAACTAGAGGACCCCCTGTCTGCAGTGAAGCAGAGAGGACCCCCTGCAGTGAAGCTGAGAGGACCCCCTGCAGTGAAGCTGAGAGGACCCCCTGTCTGCAGTGAAGCTGAGAGGACCCCCTGCAGTGAAGCTGAGAGGACCCCCTGCAGTGAAGCTGAGAGGACCCCCTGTCTGCAGTGAAGCTGAGAGGACCCCCTGCAGTGAAGCTGAGAGGACCCCCTGTCTACAGTGAAGCTGAGAGGACCCCCTGTCTGCAGTGAAGCTGAGAGGACCCCCTGTCTGCAGTGAAGCTGAGAGGACCCCCTGCAGTGAAGCTGAGAGGACCCCCTGCAGTGAAGCTGAGAGGACCCCCTGTCTGCAGTGAAGCTGAGAGGACCCCCTGCAGTGAAGCTGAGAGGACCCCCTGTCTGCAGTGAAGCTGAGAGGACCCCCTGTCTGCAGTGAAGCTGAGAGGACCCCCTGTCTACAGTGAAGCTGAGAGGACCCCCTGTCTGCAGTGAAGCTGAGAGGACCCCCTGCAGTGAAGCTGAGAGGACGCCCTGTCTGCAGTGAAGCTGAGAGGACCCCCTGTCTACAGTGAAGCTGAGAGGACCCCCTGTCTGCAGTGAAGCTGAGAGGACCCCCTGCAGTGAAGCTGAGAGGGACCCCCTGTCTGCAGTGAAGCTGAGAGGACCCCTGTCTACAGTGAAGCTGAGAGGACCCCCCTGTCTACAGTGAAGCTGAGAGGACCCCCTGCAGTGAAGCTGAGAGGACCCCCTGTCTGCAGTGAAGCTGAGAGGACCCCCTGTCTACAGTGAAGCTGAGAGGACCCCCTGTCTGCAGTGAAGCTGAGAGGACCCCCTGTCTACAGTGAAGCTGAGAGGACCCCCTGTCTGCAGTGAAGCTGAGAGGACCCCCTGTCTGCAGTGAAGCTGAGAGGACCCCCTGTCTACAGTGAAGCTGAGAGGACCCCCTGTCTACAGTGAAGCTGAGAGGACCCCCTGTCTACAGTGAAGCTAAGAGGACCCCCTGTCTACAGTAAAGCTGAGAGGACCCCCTGTCTGCAGTGAAGCTGAGAGGACCCCCTGTCTACAGTGAAGCTGAGAGGACCCCCTGTCTGCAGTGAAGCTGAGAGGACCCCCTGTCTGCAGTGAAGCTGAGAGGACCCCCTGTCTGCAGTGAAGCTGAGAGGACCCCCTGTCTGCAGTGAAGCTGAGAGGACCCCCTGTCTACAGTGAAGCTGAGAGGACCCCCTGTCTGTAGTGAAGCTGAGAGGACCCCCTGTCTGTAGTGAAGCTGAGAGGACCCCCTGTCTACAGTGAAGCTGAGAGGACCCCCTGTCTACAGTGAAAGCTGAGAGGACCCCCTGCAGTGAAGCTGAGAGGACCCCCTGTCTACAGTGAAGCTGAGAGGACCCCCTGTCTACAGTGAAGCTGAGAGGACCCCCTGTCTACAGTGAAGCTGAGAGGACCCCCTGCAGTGAAGCTGAGAGGACCCCCTGTCTACAGTGAAGCTGAGAGGACCCCCTGTCTACAGTGAAGCTGAGAGGACCCCCTGTCTGCAGTGAAGCTGAGAGGACCCCCTGCTGCAGTAAGCTGAGAGGACCCCCCTGTCTACAGTGAAGCTGAGAGGACCCCCTGTCTGCAGTGAAGCTGAGAGGACCCCCTGTCTACAGTGAAGCTGAGAGGACCCCCTGTCTGCAGTGAAGCTGAGAGGACCCCCTGTCTACAGTGAAGCTGAGAGGACCCCCTGTCTACAGTGAAGCTGAGAGGACCCCCTGTCTGCAGTGAAGCTGAGAGGACCCCCTGTCTGCAGTGAAGCTGAGAGGACCCCCTGTCTACAGTGAAGCTGAGAGGACCCCCTGTCTGCAGTGAAGCTGAGAGGACCCCCTGTCTGCAGTGAAGCTGAGAGGACCCCCTGTCTACAGTGAAGCTGAGAGGACCCCCTGTCTCAGTGAAGCTGAGAGGACCCCCTGCAGTGAAGCTGAGAGGACCCCCTGTCTGCAGTGAAGCTGAGAGGACCCCCTGTCTGCAGTGAAGCTGAGAGGACCCCCTGTCTGCAGTGAAGCTGAGAGGACCCCCTGTCTACAGTGAAGCTGAGAGGACCCCCTGTCTGCAGTGAAGCTGAGAGGACCCCCTGTCTGCAGTGAAGCTGAGAGGACCCCCTGTCTGTAGTGAAGCTGAGAGGACCCCCTGTCTACAGTGAAGCTGAGAGGACCCCCTGTCTACAGTGAAGCTGAGAGGACCCCCTGTCTACAGTGAAGCTGAGAGGACCCCCTGTCTACAGTGAAGCTGAGAGGACCCCCTGTCTGTAGTGAAGCTGAGAGGACCCCCTGTCTACAGTGAAGCTGAGAGGACCCCCTGTCTACAGTGAAGCTGAGAGGACCCCCTGTCTACAGTGAAGCTGAGAGGACCCCCTGTCTGCAGTGAAGCTGAGAGGACCCCCTGTCTGCAGTGAAGCTGAGAGGACCCCCTGTCTGCAGTGAAGCTGAGAGGACCCCCTGTCTGCAGTGAAGCTGAGAGGACCCCCTGCAGTGAAGCTGAGAGGACCCCCTGCAGTGAAGCTGAGAGGACCCCCTGCAGTGAAGCTGAGAGGACCCCCTGCAGTGAAGCTGAGAGGACCCCCTGCAGCTTCAAAAACGGTTTCCAACGCGTCTGCCCATTCACTGGGGTGACGTCACGTTGCCTCGCTTTTCGCCGAACTGAATTGTGGGTAGCATAGCGGTCCGTCTCCGGCGTCAGAACCGGAAACGCCGGAGTAGCCAGCGCCAGCCAGCGCCAGCCAATCAAATCATATGCCAGTACAAGCTCTGGCCAATCAAACCGCTGCTTGTGTGTCAGGGGCGGGATATTCATGTGATTGGTTGTTGGTCGAGCTTCAGACGCGCCAAGCTCCAAGCTTTTTTTGAAGCTGTAGTGTGGACGTCTGTGAGGAGGCTGAGCGTGGGACCGTCCAACAGGTCAACGATCACAAGAACACCTCAAAGTCCACCACGGCTTGGTTTCAGAAGAAGAGATAGTGGCCGTCAGTCGCCTCACCTGAACCCGACAGAACATCTCCAACCTCAACCCAAGAATATGACTGAAGTGGGCTCAGATCCCCAGCTGTCAGAAGCTGGCGTCACGAAGCAGGTCAGAACGGTCCTGAAGACCCCCGTCATGAAGGGGTTGAATCATGTTGAGACTGTAGGGGCCGTGGGGTTTAACTGGTTAAAGGTAGCATTGTCTGTTGAACTTGGATAAAGACCCTCATATAAGTTTAATTGATCTACTAAAACAGTTCTTGTGAAATGTGTTTATTGCAAACAGCTGAGAAATGGTATATTTCCCAGTGAACCTGAATCATTTTGATTGCAACAGTAGCAGTTGCACGTTCAGAGGAAGTAACGACACGATGTGGGAACTCTAGAGAGCCGGAGAACATTATATCTCATATATTATACATCTTATAATAAAGGGATGAGATCTCCAGGTGTGTCTCAGCTGTGTATCGGCGAAGGTGAACATTATATACTAAACTCACCTGTGAGGGCAGGTTCAGGCTGTGAGAGCTGCCGCTGTACCCGATGGCCGTGTACAGCTTCTGCTTCTCCTCCGCCGTCATCAGCTCGTCCAATCCTGAGCCTGAAACTAGAGGAAGGGGCGGGACCAACAATTTGTCATTCACAGAGTCCTCCTGAATAAAGACCAGGTTTATCACTCAGGTCACTAAAGGGTTATCTCTCAGGTCACTAAAGGGTTACCTCTCAGGTCACTAAAGGGTTACCTCTCAGGTCACTAAAGGGTTATCTCTCAGGTCACTAAAGGGTTACCTCTCAGGTCACTAAAGGGTTATCTCTCAGGTCACTAAAGGGTTAGTCTCCTCTCGGTGCACTAAAGGGTTACCTCTCGGGTCACTAAAGGGTTACCTCTCAGGTCACTAAAGGGTTACCTCTCAGGTCCTAAAGGGTTATCTCTCGTCACTAAAGGGTTACCTCTCGGGTCACTAAAGGGTTACCTCTCAGGTCACTAAAAAGGGTTACCTCTCGGGTCACTAAAGGGTTATCTCTCGGGTCACTTAAAGGGTTACCTCTCAGTCACTAAGGGTTACCTCTCGGGTCACTAAAGGGTTACCTCTCGGGTCACTAAAGGGTTATCTCTCAGGTCACTAAAGGGTTACCTCTCGGGTCACTAAAGGGTTATCTCTCGGGTCACTAAAGGGTTACCTCTTCGGGTCACTAAAGGGTTACCTCTCAGGTTCACTAAAGGGTTACCCTCTCAGGTCACTAAAGGGGTACTTCCTTCAGGTCACTAAAGGGTTACCTCTCAGGGTCACTAAAGGGTTACCTCTCGGGTCACTAAGGGTTACCTCTCGGGTCCTAAAGGGTTATTCTCTCGGGTCACGAAAGGGTTACCTCTCGGGTCACTAAAGGGTTATCTCTCAGGTCGCTAAAGGGTTACCTCTCGGGTCACTAAAGGGTTACCTCTCAGGCCACTAAAGGGTTATCTGGTCGCTAAAGGGTTATCTCTCTCGGGTCACTAAGGGATATCTCTCGGGTCACTAAAGGGTTTACCTCTCAGGGTCGCTAAAGGGTTACCTCTCAGGTCACTAAGGGTATCTCTCAGGTCGCTAAAGGGTTACCTCTCAGGTCAACTAAAGGGTTATCTCTCAGGTCACTAAGGGTTATCAGGATCGCTAAAGGGTTACCTCTCAGGTCACTAAAGGGTTATCTCTCAGGTCACTAAAGGGTTATCTCTCAGGTCACTAAAGGGTTATCAGGTCACTAAAGGGTTACCTCTCTGTGTCACTAAGGGTTTTCTCTCAGGGTCACTAAAGGGTTATCTCTCGGGTCACTAAAGGGTTACCTCTCGGGTCAACTAAAGGGTTACCTCTCAGGTCACTAAAGGGTTACCTCTCGGGTCACTAAAGGGTTACCTCTCGGGTCACTAAAGGGTTATCTCTCGGGTCACTAAAGGGTTACCTCTCAGGTCACTAAAGGGTTACCTCTCGGGTCACTAAAGGGTTACCTCTCGGGTCACTAAAGGGTTATCTCTCAGGTCACTAAAGGGTTACCTCTCGGGTCACTAAAGGGTTATCTCTCGGGTCACTAAAGGGTTACCTTCTCCTCTCAGGTCACTAAGGGTTACCTCTCAGGTCACTAAAGGGTTATCTCTCCGGGTCACTAAAGGGTTACCTCTCGGGTCACTAAAGGGTTACCTCTCGGGTCACTAAAGGGTTACCTCTCGGGTCACTAAAGGGTTATCTCTCGGTCACTAAAGGGTTACCTCTCGGGTCACTAAAAGGGTTATCTCTCAGGTCGCTAAAGGGTTACCTCTCAGGCCACTAAAGGGTTACCTCTCAGGCCACTAAAGGGTTATCTGGTCGCTAAAGGGTTATCTCTCGGGTCACTAAAGGGATATCTCTCGGGTCACTAAAGGGTTACCTCTCAGGTCGCTAAAGGGTTACCTCTCAGGTCACTAAAGGGTTATCTCTCAGGTCGCTAAAGGGTTACCTCTCAGGTCACTAAAGGGTTATCTCTCAGGTCACTAAAGGGTTATCAGGTCGCTAAAGGGTTACCTCTCAGGTCACTAAAGGGTTATCTCTCAGGTCACTAAAGGGTTATCTCTCAGGTCACTAAAGGGTTATCAGGTCGCTAAAGGGTTACCTCTCTGGTCACTAAAGGGTTATCTCTCAGGTCACTAAAGGGTTATCTCTCGGGTCACTAAAGGGTTACCTCTCAGGTCACTAAAGGGTTATCTCTCGGGTCACTAAAGGGTTATCTCTCAGGTCACTAAAGGGTTACCTCTCAGGTCACTAAAGGGTTATCTCTCGGGTCACTAAAGGGTTATCTCTCGGGTCACTAAAGGGTTATCTCTCAGGTCACTAAAGGGTTATCTCTCGGGTCACTAAAGGGTTATCTCTCGGGTCACTAAAGGGTTATCTCTCGGGTCACTAAAGGGTTACCTCTCAGTTCGCTAAAGGGTTATCTCTCAGGTCACTAAAGGGTTACCTCTCAGGTCACTAAAGGGTTATCAGGTCACTAAAGGGTTACCTCTCAGGTCACTAAAGGGTTATCTCTCAGGTCACTAAAGGGTTACCTCTCAGGTCACTAAAGGGTTATCAGGTCACTAAAGGGTTACCTCTCAGGTCACTAAAGGGTTATCTCTCAGGTCACTAAAGGGTTACCTCTCGGGTCACTAAAGGATTATCTCTCGGGTCACTAAAGGATTATCTCTCGGGTCACTAAAGGGTTATCTCTCAGGTCACTAAAGGGTTACCTCTCAGGTCACTAAAGGGTTATCAGTTCGCTAAAGGGTTATCTCTCGGGTCACTAAAGGGTTATCTCTCGGGTCACTAAAGGGTTACCTATCGGGTCGCTAAAGGGTTATCTCTCGGGTCACTAAAGGGTTATCTCTCAGGTCACTAAAGGGTTACCTCTCAGGTCACTAAAGGGTTGTCAGGTCGCTAAAGGTTTAACTCTCGGGTCACTAAAGGGTTATCTCTCGGGTCACTAAAGGGTTACCTCTCAGGTCGCTAAAGGGTTACCTCTCAGGTCACTAAACTTAAGGGTTACCTCTCGGGTCACTAAAGGGTTACCTCTCAGGTCACTAAAGGGTTACCTCTCAGGTCACTAAAGGGTTACCTCTCAGGTCACTAAAGGGTTACCTCTCAGGTCACTAAACTTAAGGGTTACCTCTCTGGTCACTAAAGGGTTATCAGTAGGGATGCACGATATTGGTTTTTTGAAACCGATACCGATAACTTCCTGCTTCTCAAGACAGATACCGATAACCGATAATAATATAATATATATATATTAAATGTACCTGTAGTTTTTGCACACCTGGTGGTAAAACAAAGACTAGTAGTGAGCAAATGACATGAGCATTACTACTATGAACAAAACAAAGCCAAGAACAGTTTTGACTCTTCAAAGTGACCATATTTATTTTCCCAAATAGAGTTCTTGCCTTTTTCAAAAGCCTCGTGGATAGGTAAAAGCCCCGGTGCCTTTGCAGCTGGCTTTGGATTCGCCGCTAGTTTAGCAGCGCAGGCGTCTTCGTACGCTTTTAACACACCATCGTAGCGATGGCGATGTTTCAGGTGACTAATCAGGTTGGAAGTATTATAGCTCGTTGCCTTTTCCCTCCTCGTGGAACTTCTGCATTTGTTACAAATAGCAAGCGAACTATCTAACTCTGACACTTTGAAATAGTCCCATAATACCGGCGACATGTTTGTTTACTGTCCTGGCTTCACGGCCGCACACCATTTACGTCACAGCCAGGCACGAGTTAGGGAGCGCTGGATTTGTGAAGAACTCCCCTCTTCCTAAACCACTAATACCACAGTACTGGCAAAACGGGAGGAGCCGAGTGAAAAACAAGCGCCCCTCATCCCAATCCACCCACACCGCAGTATTTTTTTCTTTTTTTTTACCCAAAAAATATATTGTATATTATCGGGGCTATTAATACTTTTATCGGGTTTATCGGGATGACGTCATAATTCCTAATATCGGACCGATAATTATCAGGCCGATAATTATCGTGCACCACTAGTTATCAGGTCACTAAAGGGTCACCTCTGAGGTCGCTAAAGGGTTATCAGGTCACTATGGGGTTACCTCTCTGGTCACTAAAGGGTTACCTCTCGGGTCACTAAAGGGTTACCTCTCGGGTCACTAAAGGGTTACCTCTCGGGTCACTAAAGGGTTATCTCTCAGGTCACTAAAGGGTTACCTCTCGGGTCACTAAAGGGTTACCTCTCGGGTCACTAAAGGGTTATCTCTCAGGTCACTAAAGGGTTACCTATCAGGTCACTAAAGGGTTACCTCTCGGGTCACTAAAGGGTTACCTCTCAGGTCACTAAAGGGTTACCTCTCGGGTCACTAAAGGGTTATCTCTCAGGTCACTAAAGGGTTACCTCTCGGGTCACTAAAGGGTTACCTCTCAGGTCACTAAAGGGTTATCTCTCAGGTCACTAAAGGGTTACCTCTCAGGTCACTAAAGGGTTACCTCTCGGGTCACTAAAGGGTTACCTCTCGGGTCACTAAAGGGTTACCTCTCGGGTCACTAAAGGGTTACCTCTCGGGTCACTAAAGGGTTATCTCTCAGGTCACTAAAGGGTTACCACTCGGGTCACTAAAGGGTTACCTCTCGGGTCACTAAAGGGTTATCTCTCAGGTCACTAAAGGGTTACCTCTCGGGTCACTAAAGGGTTATCTCTCAGGTCACTAAAGGGTTACCTCTCGGGTCACTAAAGGGTTATCTCTCAGGTCACTAAAGGGTTATCAGGTCACTATGGGGTTACCTCTCTGGTCACTAAAGGGTTACCTCTCGGGTCACCTCTCGGGTCACTAAAGGGTTACCTCTCGGGTCACTAAAGGGTTATCTCTCAGGTCACTAAAGGGTTACCTCTCGGGTCACTAAAGGGTTACCTCTCGGGTCACTAAAGGGTTACCTCTCGGGTCACTAAAGGGTTACCTCTCGGGTCACTAAAGGGTTACCTCTCGGGTCACTAAAGGGTTACCTCTCGGGTCACTAAAGGGTTACCTCTCAGGTCACTAAAGGGTTACCTCTCGGGTCACTAAAGGGTTACCTCTCGGGTCACTAAAGGGTTATCTCTCAGGTCACTAAAGGGTTACCTCTCGGGTCACTAAAGGGTTATCTCTCAGGTCACTAAAGGGTTATCTCTCAGGTCACTAAAGGGTTATCTCTCAGGTGTTGAGATCTTCATAGTATGTTGAATACTTAAAACGAAAGTTAGTTATAATCAAATATAATCAATGATATTCTTGTATAACCCACAATGAAAATGCTTCATATTTTAGGTTTTTCTATATTTACAGCATAAACAAAACACAAGGGGTTTGTTAAATTGAGTGTAAGGTCTATAATGATTTATGCAGTTTCTTCCCTCTCCTCTCACAGCAGGGAGGGGGGCTCCGGACTTAAGGAGAAATACATTGAGGCCTCAAAAAGGTGGTTATGTCATAGCCATAGAATATGTCTGGTCATGTCCTTTTTTACACAAACATGGGAAGGTGTGTCTTATGCCATAGCCAATAAAATATGTCCAGTCCTGTACATCAGTGGCCATGCCCAGTTTTTTTCATTGGTTGGGTATGGAGGAGGTGTTTTGGGGGTTTTCTATCCGGTTTTTTGAGCATAAAGAGACTGGCATTTTGGGAGGGAGCGAGAGAGAGAGGGGGGGTTCCCCTGGTATACTCTCTCCCGGTAGGCTCTGGCCCTCAGAGCTGGGTAAATAGCTCTCGGTAAGGTTCTCTCAGACTTGGTAAATATCTCTCAAATGTCTTGGTTGAATGCTGAGTGAATTTCTTGGTTGAATGCTGAGTGGAATGATTTGATGGGAGATGTGTTTGCTGAGTGGAATGATTTGATGGGAGATGTGTGTATGAATATTAGTCCCGCCACCTGTGAGGAATCTTCCTCCGAATTCATGCGGATAGGAATGTGTTTTTGAATGTTAGTACCCGCCATCTGTGTCAGAAAAAAGGTATGAAATTGATGTGAATTGATTGGGTGAAAATGAAAGTTTGAATGTGCTTTTTATTATCACCGGTCATTTATGAGGAAATACCTCTAAATTATATCGGGAGATTTAAAAATCACAACTGAATTGGGCAGTTTAAATTACAATTTTGGTAATAAATGTAAGACTGTGAATTAAAGTTTCATATTAGAACATGATCACAGCATGATATGTTTAGTATGATTATAATGTTGTAAAGAGAGAAGGTAAAAAACCTGTATTAGTTTGGACCTATTTTTCTTCAAATAAACTGATCCCACCTTTTGGACTGGGACAACTTAAAAGACATCTGTGCTCTCCTCTCCTGCTTCAAAGGTAAGACTGCACCCTGCCACACTCACACTTAGGTAGGGCCACACCTCATTTACTGATATCAAAATCCTTCGGGATCGCTTAAACAGATTTAAGAGAGTTGTCTGAATTGAAACAGCAGTTAATTGAACCTGGTTCTTCGGGGGGTTAATAGAGGTGAGATCTTGCTGACGTTGGTGGATCTGAGCCAAGCAGTAAACTTACATAGACTCAATAACTTCGGTCAGGTCAATTAGTAGGTCAGAGTAATTTCCCGGAATAAATTATCAGGACCTCTCCTACTCTTACACAGGTCACTAAAGGGTTATCTCTCAGGTCACTAAAGGGTTACCTCTCAGGTCACTAAAGGGTTACCTCTCAGGTCACTAAAGGGTTACCTCTCAGGTCACTAAAGGGTTATCTCTCAGGTCACTAAAGGGTTACCTCTCAGGTCACTAAAGGGTTATCTCTCAGGTCACTAAAGGGTTATCTCTCAGGTCACTAAAGGGTTATCTCTCAGGTCACTAAAGGGTTATCTCTCAGGTCACTAAAGGGTTACCTCTCAGGTCACTAAAGGGTTATCTCTCGGGTCACTAAAGGGTTACCTCTCGGGTCACTAAAGGGTTACCTCTCGGGTCACTAAAGGGTTATCTCTCGGGTCACTAAAGGGTTACCTCTCGGGTCACTAAAGGGTTACCTCTCGGGTCACTAAAGGGTTATCTCTCGGGTCACTAAAGGGTTATCAGGTCGCTAAAGGGATATCTCTAGGGTCACTAAAGGGTTATCTCTCGGGTCACTAAAGGGTTATCCCTCAGGTCACTAAAGGGTTATCTCTCGGGTCATTAAAGGGTTATCCCTCAGGTCACTAAAGGGTTATCTCTCGGGTCATTAAAGGGTTATCCCTCAGGTCACTAAAGGGTTACCTCTCAGGTCACTAAAGGGTTACCTCTCAGGTCACTAAAGGGTTACCTCTCAGGTCACTAAAGGGTTATCTCTCAGGTCACTAAAGGGTTACCTCTCAGGTCACTAAAGGGTTATCTCTCAGGTCACTAAAGGGTTATCTCTCAGGTCACTAAAGGGTTATCTCTCAGGTCACTAAAGGGTTATCTCTCAGGTCACTAAAGGGTTACCTCTCGGGTCACTAAAGGGTTATCTCTCGGGTCACTAAAGGGTTACCTCTCGGGTCACTAAAGGGTTACCTCTCGGGTCACTAAAGGGTTATCTCTCGGGTCACTAAAGGGTTACCTCTCGGGTCACTAAAGGGTTACCTCTCGGGTCACTAAAGGGTTATCTCTCGGGTCACTAAAGGGTTATCAGGTCGCTAAAGGGATATCTCTAGGGTCACTAAAGGGTTATCTCTCGGGTCACTAAAGGGTTATCCCTCAGGTCACTAAAGGGTTATCTCTCGGGTCATTAAAGGGTTATCCCTCAGGTCACTAAAGGGTTATCTCTCGGGTCATTAAAGGGTTATCCCTCAGGTCACTAAAGGGTTATCTCTCGGGTCACTAAAGGGTTATCTCTTGGGTCACTAAAGGGTTATCAGGTCACTAAACGGTTATCTCTCGGGACACTAAAGGGTTATCTCTCGGGACACTAAAGGGTTATCTCTCGGGTCACTAAAGGGTTATCCCTCAGGTCACTAAAGGGTTATATTTCGGGTCACTAAAGGCTTATATTTCGGGTCACTAAAGGCTTATCTCTCGGGTCACTAAAGGGTTATCCCTCAGGTCACTAAAGGGTTATCAGGTCACTAAAGGGTTATCAGGTCACTAAAGGGTTATCAGGTCACTAAAGGGTTATCAGGTCGCTAAAGGGTTATCTCTCGGGTCGCTAAAGGGTTATCTCTCGGGTCGCTAAAGGGTTATCTCTCGGGTCGCTAAAGGGTTATCTCTCGGGTCGCTAAAGGTCTCACCTTCCTCTCTCTCCTCCGGCTCTTCCTTCTTGTTCTTCTTCCCGAAGAAGCTGCTGAAGAAACCTCCCCCCCCCCCTTTCTTCTGGCCCCCCGCCGCATTCTTCCCCCCCGCCTGGCCAGACCGGATCACCTGATTCGATCACACACACACACACACACACACACACACACACACACACACACACACACACACACACACACACACACACACACACACACACACACACACACACACACACACACACACACACACACACACACACACACACACACACACACACACACACACACACACACACACACACACACACACACACACACACACACACACACACAGTAAGAGTCCTTTAACTAAGTGTAATATGCATAAGTAGTGTGATAGCGGCCAGGTAACAGTAGTGAAAGTAGTAGTTTATATTTCAGTTATTAAGGATGTATTACAGTTGTTAAATGGTCTAACTGACGGACAGGTGAGAGACAGGTGAGAGACGGGTGAGAGACGGGTGAGAGACAGGTGAAAGGCAGGTGAGTGACAGGGGAGAGACAGGTGAAAGACATGTGAGAGACGGGTGAGAGACGGGTGAAAGACGGGTAAGAGACAGGTGAGAGGCAGGGGAGACAGGTGAGAGACAGGGGAGAGACAGGTGAGAGACAGGTGAGAGACATGTGAGAGACATGTGAAAGACAGGTGAGAGACAGGGGAGAGACAGGTGAGAGACATGTAGGACACAGGTGAGAGAAATGTGAGAGACAGGTGAGAGACAAGGGAGAGACAGGTGAGAGACAGGGGAGAGACAGGTGAGAGACAGGGGAGAGACAGGTAGGACACAGGTAGGACACAGGTGAGAGACAGGTGAGAGACAGGGGAGAGACATGTGAGAGACAGGGGAGAGACAGGGAAGAGACAGGTAGGACACAGGTGAGAGACAGGTGAGAGACAGGTAGGACACAGGTGAGAGACAGGTGAGAGACAGGGGAGAGACATGTGAGAGACAGGGGAGAGACAGGGGAGAGACAGGTGAGAGACAGGGGAGAGACAGGTGAGAGACAGGTGAGAGACAGGGAAGAGACAGGTAGGACACAGGTGAGAGACAGGGGAGAGACAGGTGAGAGACAGGTGAGAGACAGGTGAGAGACGGGGAGAGACAGGTGAGAGACAGGTGAGAGACAGGGAAGAGACGGGGAGAGACAGGTGAGAGACAGGTGAGAGACAGGTGAGAGACAGAGAAGAGACAGGTAGGACACAGGTGAGAGACAGGTGAGAGACAGGTGAGAGACGGGGAGAGACAGGTGAGAGACAGGTGAGAGACAGGGAAGAGACAGGTAGGACACAGGTGAGAGACAGGTGAGAGACAGGTGAGAGACAGGTGAGAGACAGGTGAGAGACAGGTGAGAGACAGGTGAGAGACGGGTGAGAGACGGGTAAGAGACAGGTGAGAGACAGGTGAGAGACAGGTGAGTGACAGGGGAGAGACAGGTGAGAGACGGGTGAGAGAAAGGGGTGAAAGACGGTAAGAGACAGGTGAGAGGCAGGGGAGAGACAGGTGAGAGACAGGGGAGAGACAGGTGAGAGACAGGTGAGAGACAGGGGAGAGACAGATGAGAGACAGGGGAGAGACATGTGAGAGACAGGTGAGAGACAGGGAAGAGACAGGTAGGACACAGGTGAGAGACAGGGGAGAGACAGGTGAGAGACAGATGAGAGACAGGTGAGAGACAGGTGAGAGACAGGTGAGAGACGGGTGAGAGACGGGTAAGAGACAGGTGAGAGACAGGTGAGTGACAGGGGAGAGACAGGTGAGAGACGGGTGAGAGACGGGTGAAAGACGGGTAAGAGACAGGTGAGAGGCAGGGGAGAGACAGGTGAGAGACAGGGGAGAGACAGGTGAGAGACAGGTGAGAGACAGGGGAGAGACAGGTGAGAGACAGGGGAGAGACAGGTGAGAGACAGGTGAGAGACAGGTGAGAGACAGGTGAGAGACAGGGGAGAGACAGGTGAGAGACAGGTGAGAGACAGGTGAGAGACAGGGGAGAGACAGATGAGAGACAGGGGGAGAGACAGGTGAGAGACAGGTGAGAGACAGGTGAGAGACAGGTGAGAGACATGTGAGAGACAGGGGAGAGACAGGTAGGACACAGGTAGGACACAGGTGAGAGACAGGTGAGAGACAGGGGAGAGACATGTGAGAGACAGGGGAGAGACAGGGAAGAGACAGGTAGGACACAGGTGAGAGACAGGTGAGAGACAGGTAGGACACAGGTGAGAGACAGGGGAGAGACATGTGAGAGACAGGGGAGAGACAGGGGAGAGACAGGTGAGAGACAGGGGAGAGACAGGTGAGAGACAGGTGAGAGACAGGGAAGAGACAGGTAGGACACAGGTGAGAGACAGGGGAGAGACAGGTGAGAGACAGGTGAGAGACAGGTGAGAGACGGGGAGAGACAGGTGAGAGACAGGTGAGAGACAGGGAAGAGACGGGGAGAGACAGGTGAGAGACAGGTGAGAGACAGGTGAGAGACAGAGAAGAGACAGGTAGGACACAGGTGAGAGACAGGTGAGAGACAGGTGAGAGACGGGGAGAGACAGGTGAGAGACAGGTGAGAGACAGGTGAGAGACAGGGAAGAGACAGGTAGGACACAGGTGAGAGACAGGTGAGAGACAGGGGAGAGACATGTGAGAGACAGGTGAGAGACAGGGAAGAGACAGGTAGGACACAGGTGAGAGACAGGGGAGAGACAGGTGAGAGACAGATGAGAGACAGGTGAGAGACAGGTGAGAGACAGGTGAGAGACAGGTGAGAGACGGGTGAGAGACGGGTAAGAGACAGGTGAGAGACAGGTGAGAGACAGGTGAGAGACGGGTGAGAGACGGGTGAAAGACGGGTAAGAGACAGGTGAGAGGCAGGGGAGAGACAGGTGAGAGACAGGGGAGAGACAGGTGAGAGACAGGTGAGAGACAGGGGAGAGACAGATGAGAGACAGGGGAGAGACAGGTGAGAGACAGGTGAGAGACAGGTGAGAGACAGGTGAGAGACAGGGGAGAGACAGGTGAGAGACAGGTGAGAGACAGGTGAGAGACAGGGGAGAGACAGATGAGAGACAGGGGAGAGACAGGTGAGAGACAGGTGAGAGACAGGTGAGAGACAGGTGAGAGACAGGTGAGAGACATGTGAGAGACAGGGGAGAGACAGGTGAGAGACAGGTGAGAGACAGGTGAGAGACAGGGAAGAGACAGGTAGGACACAGGTAGGACACAGGTGAGAGACAGGTAGGACACAGGTGAAAGACAGGTGAGAGACAGGTGAGAGACATGTGAGAGACAGGTGAGAGACAGGGGAGAGACAGGTGAGAAACAGGGGAGAGACAGGTAGGACACAGGTAGGACACAGGTGAGAGACAGGTGAGAGACAGGGGAGAGACAGGGAAGAGACATGTAGGACACAGGTGAGAGACAGGGGAGAGACATGTGAGAGACAGGTGAGAGACATGTAGGACACAGGTGAGAGACGGGGGAGAGACAGGGAAGAGACAGGTGAGAGACAGGTGAGAGACATGTGAGAGACAGGGGAGAGACAGGTGAGAGACAGGGGAGAGACAGGTGAGAGACAGGGGAGAGACAGGTGAGAGACAGGGGAGAGACAGGTGAGAGACATGTAGGACACAGGTGAGAGACAGGTGAGAAACAGGGGAGAGACAGGTAGGACACAGGTAGGACACAGGTGAGAGACAGGTGAGAGACAGGTAGGACACAGGTGAGAGACAGGTGAGAGACAGGGGAGAGACAGGTAGGACACAGGTGAAAGACAGGTGAGAGACAGGTGAGAGACATGTGAGAGACAGGTGAGAGACAGGGGAGAGACAGGTGAGAAACAGGGGAGAGACAGGTAGGACACAGGTAGGACACAGGTGAGAGACAGGTGAGAGACAGGGGAGAGACAGGGAAGAGACATGTAGGACACAGGTGAGAGACAGGGGAGAGACATGTGAGAGACAGGTGAGAGACATGTAGGACACAGGTGAGAGACGGGGGAGAGACAGGGAAGAGACAGGTGAGAGACAGGTGAGAGACAGGTGAGAGACAGGGGAGAGACAGGTGAGAGACAGGGGAGAGACAGGTGAGAGACAGGGGAGAGACAGGTGAGAGACAGGGGAGAGACAGGTGAGAGACATGTAGGACACAGGTGAGAGACAGGTGAGAAACAGGGGAGAGACAGGTAGGACACAGGTAGGACACAGGTGAGAGACAGGTGAGAGACAGGTAGGACACAGGTGAGAGACAGGTGAGAGACAGGGGAGAGACAGGGAAGAGACAGGTAGGACACAGGTGAGAGACAGGTGAGACACAGGTGAGAGACAGGTGAGAGACATGTAGGACACAGGTGAGAGACAGGTGAAAGACGGGTAAGAGACAGGTGAGAGGCAGGGGAGACAGGTGAGAGACAGGGGAGAGACAGGTGAGAGACAGGTGAGAGACATGTGAGAGACATGTGAAAGACAGGTGAGAGACAGGGGAGAGACAGGTGAGAGACATGTAGGACACAGGTGAGAGAAATGTGAGAGACAGGTGAGAGACAAGGGAGAGACAGGTGAGAGACAGGGGAGAGACAGGTGAGAGACAGGGGAGAGACAGGTAGGACACAGGTAGGACACAGGTGAGAGACAGGTGAGAGACAGGGGAGAGACATGTGAGAGACAGGGGAGAGACAGGGAAGAGACAGGTAGGAAACAGGTGAGAGACAGGTGAGAGACAGGTAGGACACAGGTGAGAGACAGGTGAGAGACAGGGGAGAGACAGGTGAGAGACAGGGGAGAGACAGGGGAGAGACAGGTGAGAGACAGGGGAGAGACAGGTGAGAGACAGGTGAGAGACAGGGAAGAGACAGGTAGGACACAGGTGAGAGACAGGGGAGAGACAGGTGAGAGACAGGTGAGAGACAGGTGAGAGACGGGGAGAGACAGGTGAGAGACAGGTGAGAGACAGGGAAGAGACGGGGAGAGACAGGTGAGAGACAGGTGAGAGACAGGTGAGAGACAGAGAAGAGACAGGTAGGACACAGGTGAGAGACAGGTGAGAGACAGGTGAGAGACGGGGAGAGACAGGTGAGAGACAGGTGAGAGACAGGTGAGAG